GATGGAGGATGGATGATGGATGGATGGATGGAGGATGGAGGATGGAGGATGGATGATGGATGGATGGATGGAGGATGATGGATGGATGGAGGATGGATGGATGAAGATGTAATGACATCATTAAATCACAGAAAATGTTTTAGGGACTTCATGAACAGTTTGAGTTTTCAGGTTTTTCTCTCAAACATTTTAAATCCTGAACATCTGAGGTGTTTGACTCAGTTTGACCTGATGGTGATAAAAATGTTGGAATTGAAAATGAAAAGAATCAAACTGTTCTGTTTGTGACTCTGTCTTCCTCCCACCTGGACCTGGTCTTAATGTGTGTATTGTGTGTGTTTTCTCACTGTCACAGCCTGTTTCATATCAGGAACCTTATCCCCCCCCCACCAACCTACCCCCGCTCTCCTACAGCAGCCCCGCCTCCGCCACTACCTCACTCCCAGACAACCATTTCTCTTTATTTTTTTAAAAAATCAGGAACTGCCTCCCAGCTTCGGTGCAACATGCAGAGAAAAACAAGCTTTTTGCTCCTGCTGTTTGTAATACTTTCCCTTTGGTTTGTGTGAAATTACACACAGATATACAATTTATTTTCTAAACCTTAATCTGCCAGGCTGGACAGGTAGCAGAAACACAGGTTAACCAAGAAACAGAACAACCAACAGAATAAAACAACAAAAATGAATATCTTGTGTTGCTGAAGTGGAACCTGCAGGAGTTTACAGAACCAGGAAGGAAGATATTTTGRAAAATAATAAACTGCAGGATTTTAATGTTTCTGAGCTCGACTTTGAGGATTACAGATTTCTGATCAATCAGGACTGAGTTAGTTTTATTCTGCACACAAACACTAATTTGAAAAGATATATTCATTACTACATCTGAGCTGTTACTGACAGCATTTACCAAACCTGCAACACTAAGCTGAGAGCTGCCATTTCAGAAAGTTCTGGAAGTGGAACCGACAGCTAAAGCAGCTCCTCTGGGAAGCAGACGCTGAAAACAAGCTGTCAAAGACAGGAAAGCAGAACCGTCTCCAGAAAACCAGGCGAGGAGGGCCTCACTGAGGCAGATGTTGTGTTTTAGTTTCTAYTTGAGTCAGAGCTGCAGGTCCCACAGAAGGTGGTTGTTGTTTCAGTTCCTCCCTCTCCTCCAGAGAACCCAACAACATCAGGACACTGATTGCTAATTAACTGGAACAGAAAGAGAGACGAGGAGCTCGGAGCAGATTTCTCCTCCACACTGTCAGGGAGCGAGACGATTCTCCTGAGCTCACCGGGGACGCRCGCGGTGCGGCACATCATTCTGATTTCCCGGGTTCTCCTCTGAGGACTGTGCAGAACTGAAAGTTAAGGTTGTGTTCAGAATTATTACTTCTCAATTCGTGTGCTTGTGCTGACTGAGCTGCCTGCCTGAATGCCTAATGTGCTGCGGCGGCTCGGTGAATCATGTAGGAACAGAAAAATGAAGAGTACATCWGGCAGGATGCGGAGAAGCTCCCAGCTGGGCTCTGTACAACCCTGTTTGAAAAATGGAACACACTGGGGTATTTGTGACAATATTTGCTTATTTATTTGTTTGTATGGTTGTTGTCAGGTGGAGGAARAAAAGCAAAAAAATCCTAAAAACTAAAAACAGATCAGGTGGAAAAACTAYCTACAGTACAGTTTTGAATTTCCATTTTTTGACACATAAGCATCTCTTCTCTGTTATAATCATCTATCTATCCATTATCTATGTCTGTTTATTCCTTTTYTAGGGTCACGGGGGTCACTGGTGTCRCTGGTGCCCATATCCAGCAGTCACAGGGCGGGGTACACCCTGGACAGGTCGCAGGTCCATCACAGATGGACTACATCCATCTCTGTTATAATCAGTGAGTAAAATTCATAMGTTTGTGCAAATCAGAATTTAATGATGCTCTGATAATGACATCAGCTTTGGGTTTGTGAGCGTTTTGATGTATTTTGAGGTTGAACCTACCCCCCAACCCTAACCCCCACTCCATCCTAAACTTAACCCTAGAACCCCAACCCTAAACATAAACCCAGCATGACCCCATACCTAAACCTAACCCCAACCCAAACCACCACTCCATCCCCAACTTAACCCTAGCCTAACCCCATCCCTAAACATAACCATTATCTAACTCAAAACCCTTACCCCAATCCCAAACTAACCTCAGCATAACCCCAACCCTAATCCCAACCCCAGCCTAATCCCAATGCTAACCCCATCCACAACCTAACCCTAGCCTAACCCCAATCCCAGCCTAACCCCAATGCTAACCCCAGCCCAAACCTCTACCCCATCCCCAACCCCAGCATAACCTCAACCCTAAACCTAATCCTAGCCTAACCCCAACCCCAACCTCTACCCCATCCCCAACCCTAGCCTAACCCCTATAGCTTCAAATATCCATAAAGTGTGGTCAGTGTAGGGTTGCGGTAACAAAAGAGACAAACTCCTTATTGTTGGTGTGACGTCCGATGTTCAGTATCTGTTTTCATACTGTTAACTGTTAAAATGTCACAAATCAGTAAATGGTCTTTGGTTTAAGTGGTAAAAGCATTAAAACCGTCTCAAGCAGAAAGAAAATGCAATTTTAACCTTTGCCAGCATGAACACACTAACTATGTTTTATGCCTGTTCAATATTTTACCCATTAAAGCAGCAGCTACGTATTTATTGCACTATAGAAAGAAAAATGACCATCTTCTGCCGTGTATAAATGGGTCTTAACTCATACTTCAGTTTCCACACATAGCTGCAGAACTCATCACTTTTTCCCCACCAACACACAGATAAGTAACACATAAAATGTCCCTTTGCTCCGTCTCACGGCTCTGCTGTCGCCTTAATTGGAGTAATTCAAAGAGAGCGAAATTTCTCACGTACTTTTCCCAGCCCATAATTCAWTTAAGGCTTTGTTTAAAAGATTTTCATAAAGAAATGACTGGAAATGTTTAAAACATAACAGGATCTGTGTGAGAGTTCAGCCCAGTCGCTGAAACCTTTCTATCCTCCGTGTGTAATGAGCCCTGCCGTTTTCTTAAATCTGRATCAGAGAACATAAATTCAGTGAACGACTTTGTGCTTCTTAAAAAAAAGACATCAACAGATGAGACTTAGATTTATGTTCACAACTGATCTTCTTCAAGGACATTTAAATAAAAAAGGTAGTTTTTATCCAGCCAAGTGGAGGGGGAAAAAAAGACATTTTTCAAGTTTCTATACTGAAGACAAAGTGAAAAAGTGTGCTTTATTGATTTCAAGAAAGATGGAAATTGCACCAGCCCAGAATATCATTAGATGTAACATTATTTTAAAGCATTTGACACAAACAGTTTTAGCTTTATTTCCAATGTTTGACACATCACTGAGACATTCAGCTCATGATTGTTTAGAATCCAGTTTTTAATATTTAAATGAACTAAAAAAAAACAAAACAAAAAAAGCACAATAAAACATTTTCTCACTTTAGTTACAAAAATGGGTCACCGCGTGGGTTTCTCATTGCATTCACAGAAGGATCTGARCAGTGGATGTCTAACAGTTCTCTCTTTAAAACAACCCCCACCCCAAAATATATCAGTTTAACCAGGGTATATACAGGGCTTAGCATCCTTTCATCTTACTATTAAGAAGGTTTGAGGTATACAACCAAAATAAAAGCCTGTCGAGAGAAAAAAGTCAACCAACAAATAGAATTAAATAAAGGAAAATAGGTGGGATTGTCTACGAGCACAGGATCAAAACATTTAGTGGGAGATGTTGCCRTGTGGTCAGGAGACTGTCAGTATATACAAAGGTCTAATTTAGCAGTGGAAAGTTGTTTGAATTATTTGTACACAGAATGTGTGGAAAAATAAAACCAGAGTTATTAAAACTGATTTGATCAAGTTTCAAACTCTGTGAACGTTTGACCCGACAGTGAAAGGAAAGACCCGAAGCAGACATGCAAGTTTTGAGAGTGGATTCGGAAACAAACAGCATTGTACAAAATATTAATTACAATTATTTTTATAAGAATTATTAAGATGCACCTTCTGTCTTAGCACCACGATGTACTTTTTGTGTGTTTTGATTGAGCACCATTGTAGTCGTTTTCATACAGCACCTGCAGTTTAATGAAAAGATCTAGACCCTCCCCAGTCATCCTCACGGTTACCTCCGACTCCCCCTTCCTCCTCTGCCACACACTCCAATGTCCTTCACCTTTGTTCCATAACGTCGTCAGGTCGTGTGGTTCGAGCCCTACGAGGGCAACGAGGATTTTCCTGGGATACTTACACAGAGAGATGTTTGCTACACCAGCTCTTATTCAAAACTTGCATGTGGCAAAGAAAAAGGTGGGGAGGTGGGGGCTAAAAGTGGGGTTCGGTGGCACCCAGAATGTCTCGACTTGAATTTCTTTGCTGTCCTCATCAAGTCCTTTTTTGTTTTTTGTTTCAGCCAAGGAAGCAGACAGGTCCAACTTCAAATCCAAACTTCTGGTTAGGGTCTCCAAAGTCAGTCAACATGACATCCATGATTGGAACCTGATCGATTTTGGGAGTATTAATCTCCAGCACAGTCTTTCCATAGCCCTTCCTTGTCTGCAATGAAAGAGAGAGAGAGAGAGAGATGTACAAACAAGCTTAATATCAAACAGAAAATACATGAACTCATTGTTACAGTTAAGGACTCAGAAAGGACATAAAATGAATGTGTTGAATAAACTCTATCATGRTGTTATAGCACACATCTTATGTCAGCAGGGTGTGGCATCCCTCAACCATGGACAGAAGCATTGATTTGATGTGGAACAAGTCATAGTTTGGTATTTTTTCCTTGAGTCAGGTCTGGTCTTCAGTTTCCTGGGCTGTCCTGTATTAGTTCTAACTCTAGACTAGTTCTCTGCCCATGACACTTCCATATTATTTTTGTTTATTTTGCTTGCAGAAAACAATGCCACAACAAAGTAAGTTTGCAAGTTTATTGAAGTTAAGGAAGTGACGATGAAAGGTTGAGTCAATCATCAATCTAAAGATTGGGAGTCTCATAGTGGATGGGTGGGAAGATGGAGACTCGAACTGGGACATCCCCCAGATGGATAAATGGTTATTCATAGAGAATAAGAATGGAAGCAATGCAAAGATGTGGAGCAATTGCCTGGATCTGGATCTAAGGAGATCGGACRGGGTGGATTAGATCGGCTCTGTTCAGTATAGCCGATGAGGGATGGTACAAGGTTCTGTAGAGTCCAAAACCTCTGCCTAGRCTGCAAGCACAGATGACATAGGATTCTATAATGGCTGGCTCATAATTCAGCTATCGCTCCCTGGTGTGATCTGTATTGGGTGACTTCAGCTTGTTTTCCTCTAGCGCCTCTACAACATGGTTCGACTTGGCCCTCCACAGTTCCAAGGCTTCTCCACTAGCAAGGATTCCCTTTTTCAGAACTTACTTCACCGTGGTTCCAAGTGTACCATGCTGGACTGAAAATGTGACTTCAGGAGACTGTCGGTCTGTTTGGTTAAGGGGTGGCATCACTGGTTAGATCACAACAGCTACTCTCACAACAACCCGATCCACCATTTGCCATAACAATATACCATGTCTCCATTGTTGTGTTGCGTGTCCTTTTGGAGTCTTCTTCTACTACGTTTAATGGTGGCTGTCAAATAGCTTAATGGAGCATAAGCTCCACCAGCCSGTAAGGAATGTGGCATCAATTTTCAGACTCTGGGACCACCCAACTTTACAATGAACCCACCAACTGTATCCATTGGTTCCAAYATTAGACCAATGTGACATGGTACGCATCATCATACAACCACCTGGCCTCATGAAAACCTGCAATGCGACCGTCATCAAACTTCATCAAGTGGGCTAATTCTGTCTAATACATGTATGAGATGCTCCAGTAAGTACCTGATTAGAGTATCACTSCATCGTGATGCCACCACTTATACCCTCTGTTGTCTGTTCTCAATGTGAGTGAATACATCAGGTCTAAATTAGATCCATCACTGCTGGTGCTGAAAGKTTTTATGTCAGTGAACTTAGAAACCTGAACTAAACAATACATTTACTGACTGTAATGAAAACTAYTGCTGTCAAACAGAATTCATTAGATTTGCTCTGAAAAAACCTCACCGAACATCCATCCGAGATGGCTTTAATGTAAGGGTTATTTTCATAAGACATCTCCTCGTCGTTGGCGCCCAAGAATCTCAGCGCCTTGTCGTAGCTGTCGGTGGCGGCGTTGTGCCACGCCACAGACTGGTGGCAGCTGTAGGTGAAGTTTTGCCTGGCTGAGGCCGTCAGTAGTCTGAGGAAGGTCATCTGCACCATGTTTATCGAGTTTCCTTCAATGTCCACATAGGATAACTGGAAGAAAAGAGATTTTTCAACAATTTCTAACAACTATTTATCCAGTTTTTTTTTGTTGTTTGTGATTGAACACATCAATCAGCCAAAATATGAAAAGGACCTGAAGTCTCAGCCTTAAAAGATGGGCAATCATGTAACTGCTTGTGTCGTTTTTTTTTATTAAATATCTTTTAGACCACTGTCAGGACCTTCAGAACCTAATGGATCTGATCAAACCACCTTTAGATAAGAGTTTGTGTCTCCATAAAACAATTAGGAAAGTRGCTTCTTAACATTGTATCTGACGGGTAATATAAGGACACATTGTCATCACAGATTAAAAAAGGTGACAAATGTTAGTTCTCTAATCTCCAGATGAAAGTCTCCTGTGCAGCTATGAAAAGGAAGCAACGTGTTTATTCTTTATTTTAGTTTTGTTCTTCATCTTTTTGATCTTTCCTCTTCATTTTGTAGCCTTCTCTTACCCTAAGTGAACTGCCTCTTTGAAGTTAGGCTGTATGCTTCTGCATTACCATAAAATGTCTCCAGAAGATCAAAACAATACCACAAGAGTTTGAGTTTGAAAAGATTTAAGTTACTTTTTTAAATTTGTTTTCTTACCCATAAAACCTACAGGTGTTGGACCAGTGTTGATGCTAGTAGAAGAAGTTATTTTAAGTAATTACACAGAGACCGGATGGTTTTATGATYCTGTTTTTATTCGAGCTTTGTTCTGCTGATGTTTCTCATATTTTATTGCTTTTATAGATGTTTTAATGTTTTGGGCTGACTGAACTCCAAAGCACTTTGGTCTGTTGTTTTTATGTGCTTCAGAAATGAAACCAAAATTAACATTAATTATGTAGCTTTGGGCTTCAAAGCAAAGGGGGTGAATAGTTATGYAGCAACTGCACATCAGAGAAAACAGAAAAAACAGGAAAGCGTTYTGTGGAGGAAAAACTTACCAGCTTCCCTCGTTTAAACTGACTGAACCAGGAACCTGGAACCTCTTTGGGCCACGAGGATATTCTGACCTGTCGAAATAAAATGAATCAATTTTATTATGAATTTATGATTCGGTCAGAAAATATAACAGTTGTATAAAACAGAATCCAGCTTTAAAGACTGGAGCAGAAGAAAAGGATTGTTTTATTTATCTTCATGACTGTATGATGTGAAATGATTCTGTAGTTTGATTTATTTATGTATTTATTTACTTTTGTGTAAAAACGTTTGGTTTCCTCTTTATTTTTCCAGATGTTTTTTCTATAATTACTCTGCAAATTTAGTGCTATTTTAAACATTTATAAATAAAAACATTCAGCTCAATCTGGAGATCGGTGCTGACTTGTTTTTTTGTTAGTTTGATTTATTTATGTATTTATTTACTTTTGTGTAAAAACGTTTGGTTTCCTCTTTATTTTTCCAGATGTTTTTTCTATAATTACTCTGCAAATTTAGTGCTATTTTAAACATTTATAAATCAAAACATTCAGCTCAATCTGGTGATCGGTGCTGACTTGTTTTTTTGTAAATCTGATTTAAACTTGTTTACAAATAATGTTTTTTGTTGTTTTGTTACTTTTAGCTTTCAGCTACCATGTTGCTACTTGCAGCTCTTAGCTTTTTGCTACATTTAGCATTCAGCTGGCCTTTTATTTAGTCATTTGTTACTGTTAGATTTTAGATAGCACTTTCATGCTTTTAGCTTCTAGCTTCTTTTGATACTTTATCTAGCCTTTTGTTACTTTTAGCTTTTGACTAGCCTTGTCATACTTTTAGCTTTTAGCCATCATTTGGATAATTTAGATAGCCCTTTTTAACTTTTACCTTGTAACTAAAAATTTCTACCACTTTGCTTCTTGTATAGTTTTGAGCTAACATTTAGCTTTTTTAGCTTTTAGTTTGTGCTTTCTTTTTTAACTTCTAGCTTGTCTCTTTTATTTAAATTTTAACTATCATTTCTCTATTTTAGCTTTCAGCTACCATTGTGATACRTCTAGCTTTTACTTAGCTTTTTGCTACATTTAGCATTCAGTTAGCCTTTTGTTTCTCTTTAGTTATTTGTTAGTGTTAGGTTTTAGCTGGCTCTTTCATGCTTTCAGCTTGTAGCTCYTTTTGTTACTTTTAGTTTTTGACTAGCCTTGTCATACTTATACTAGCTTACAGCCATCATTTAGATATTTTTTTACCTGCTTTTACCTCATAGTGTTTTGCTGCTGTTTTGCTTCTAGTCTTTTTAGTTTAACCTTTTAGCTATGAAATTTCTATTTTAGCTTTTAGCTGGCATTTTGCAGCTTTTAGCTTGTAGGGTTAGKTTGTGTACTTGTTGTGTATTTTCTCCTTTAACTAGATTTTTGCTTCTTGTTCTTTTTTGTTTGTGCCGACAGTGAAACTAAATAAAGTTTATTCGTTGTAGACTGCATGTTAACGTGTCACTGATAATCAGAAGGTGAATGAAAACAGGAAGTGGCTGTAAATGTTGGTAAAAACCCAGAAGCTCTCACTCCATCAGACTTCTTGTCAGGATAGATGCAGGTTTCTCCGCCGGCCGTGAAGTTACAGAAGACTTTGAAGGAATCTCCTGAGCAGCCTTGGTTTGGATCAACCCAGTACTCGCCTGAGGAGAACCAAGAAAGGAGAAAATAAAGCTAAAACCTGCAGATCCTGGATCCAGAAGGTCTGGTTCTGGTTRCTGGGCTCTGACTCACCATCAGGGAACTCGGGGTGGCACAGCTGCAGGTCTTTGCAGGTTCTGGCTGGGTTGTTCTGAGTGCCCATGGGGTATTTCATCCGCTCGATGTCCTGTTTCAGGTTGTTGAGGGAGCCGAAGATGTCCTCCATGCCGTAGTCCATGAAGGTGGCRGCCATGTCCGACTGCAGGTCGCTGGAGCGCTTCGTCTTCTTGGGGGACTGGATGGGGAGGGGCTGGACCACCTCACCTGGTGGGCCCTAAATCCAGACATAAACAAACATTTCTTTTTTTTTCTTGAATGAAACCATTAGAACAGCTTCACAGTTAAAAACCAGCCTGGAACACTTACAGGAGGACCAGGAGGACCGATTGAACCAGTGTCTCCTTTGGGACCAGCAGGACCCTGAAAGACCACAAGCAGAAAGGTTTAATCCAGGATGAACTGATCTTTGATCCTGGATATAAGAGAGACTAAAACTTTGGCTTACAGATGAACCTTTGGCTCCTTTAGGACCTTGAGGACCCTGAAACAGCAGTGATTTGACCAAGTTATTATATTTTAAGAATAAAATTAAAATAATGAGATAAAAAAAAAACCTTACAGGTAAACCAGGTGGACCTGGAGGTCCGAGAGGTCCAGCAGCTCCACTGATACCCTGGAATATAAACAATATGTCATTTAATATAAATATATTCTTTGTTTCTGTTTGAAATAAGTCACAAACTTGACCAGAGCCCTGATCAGAATTTTAAAATACAAAAAAATAAACCACATTTTGTGCTTCAATGAAAGGAGTTATTCCATGAAGCTGAAGGTGCAGCTGGAGCCTGACGTTAGCGCCGAGYGAGGGCCGGCTGCTTGATTTAAAAAAGGATGAAGGCCACCATCGATTCTTTATAAAGCCCTGAGCTTTTAACTACTTTCAAAACCGCTCCTGATTGGAATGAAGGGATCAGTCAGAAACAAAAAAAAAAAAAAATCTATTTCAGTTTTTAGACTTTTTCTTTCAGCAAAACTAACAAATCAGAATGTGACATTAGAGGAGGAAAACATGTGGCGGAAGCTGAAGAGAACTGGAAGGAGAAATATTACACAGGACGGTTCACATCTTTTAAAGTAGGGCTGTTTGGAAATGTTATGAACAAACAACATCTCACCTGCTGCAGATAGTTCTGTCAATGACCTCASTTTGGAGAAATGGTTTAATTCTGACCAACTTAACAAGCTAATGACTAAAGTGGATCACTGTTGTCTTAAAACAAGTCTAATTTAAAAAAATGCAAAACAAGAGATCCAGARCTTATTGGGGTCTCCCAGGAGGAATTGGACATACAGATGTTTAGGGGTCTCTCCTGGACCTGCTGCCTTCACAGCCCAACAGACCAGGTAAAAACACTTAGACAGACTAATAATTTGGCAGAAAAGTTCTGATAATCCTGCAGGAAGTGCAGTTATTTTAAACAATTAGACTTCTCTTTAAATAACTGTAAAGTCAAATTAACAGCTGTGAAAAACAATATTTGCTTGAATGAAAAAAGTCCAAAGCAGAGTTTTCCATTCTAACAATTTCACATTTTTTATGCAGATACTATTATTTAATTTCACAGTACTTGTTTTTATTGTTGGAAACATTCAAACTTCCTGACAGAAATGCACCAAAATCTGAAGATGCTTTAAAATCAGATAATTTTACTAATAACCTTTGTTTCCAGAGCTAACAGCAAAGTTACGGTTTCTAAAATAACGTGAAATGTTTTTAGATAAAACAGAGACCCACGTTAGGACTAGCTGTTAGCTGTTAGCTTGTTGATTATCATAAATTAAACCATTCAAAGAGCTATCTACAGCAGGTAAGATATTCATTGTTGATAACCCATTTCAAATGTTTTGAACTATTGTTTGCGCTAAGGTGATGCTAATGGACAAACTATAAACAGGGATTAAAAACTGCAAATAATTCAGTTTAAATAATTTTAAAGCATGAATACTTTAGAGGTTTTAGTTGCTGGTTTGTTTATCTGGAAACAACAGACCGACAGAAATCTGCAGAACCCACAGTGATCTGGGCACCAAGTCTGAAAACATAATCACTTACAGAGTCACCCTTTCCACCAGGAGTACCCTGAGGTCCAGGCAAACCTCGATCTCCCTTCTCTCCTTGCTCTCCAGGGGGTCCGATGAGACCGATCAAACCTGGGTGACCCTGCAGGGTGATGACAACCACGGGACGGTTAAACGAGACAGAAAAGACGACGACTTTAAAACGAATCCGAACATGTTTTGTTCACAAACGCTGGAATGATCATGTGACGCTGAGYGAGTCACAAACTGTAAAAGCAGAGCTCACCTTTTCACCTTTAGAGCCGGGGTCACCCTTCAGACCTGGAAGACCCGGAGGACCCTGCACAACAGCAGGTAAAACATTCAGAACATTTGTATTTTTAATCTTGGTTTCCTTGAAGTACCTGCGACGCACCACTAGGGGGCGAAMGTCCACATTAACAGAGCTGCTAACTTTGCAACTTTATCGCTATTTTTAACMAGTTTTCAGCCTCTTTTTCAGACTTTTTAACTCGTGTTTCTTCAAAAATATCCAACAGACTTTACTGCATATATTTATGTTTAACAAACTCTGGAATTATTTCCCCACAGCTGAGCTCATTAGTGAGGACAGAGTAACCTCACTCTGATAAATAAATCCAGACAGGAAGTAGAGACTGAGGAGTTACCATGGGACCTGGTGGACCATCCTGTCCTGGGGCTCCGGGCAGTCCTTGTTCACCCTGTGAAAAGCCAAAAGAGTGAGCATTAGGTGCTGCTGGACCTCCTCCGGTCCACCATTGATTTCCTGAGCTCAGCTGGATGWTTAACAGTCGGAGCAGGCAGGAAAAGTCTGCTGCAATAAACCAGTAAAACTAAAGTAGAAGCCAAATGGGAGCATTGATTATTCCATAAAGTCCATCAGTGTGTCCTCGCTCTGTGTGTGTGTGTGTGTGTGTGTGTGTGTGTGTGTGTGTGTGTGTGTGTGTGTGT